GGGTGCTCTGCCAGCTCTGGTGCCGAGTTGTGTCGGTCATGCGTGCCGGCCGCCCTTGCTTCACTACAGCAAAGTCTTACTTGACTATTGTAATTGTAATTGTAATTGTTGTTCACAGTTTGCTTATCATCATGTTATTACTCAAATTACTGGATCTCATTTTGTCTCTAATACTATTTGCTTTATCATGAAAATAGCACACGCCCCAGCACCCCCTCTGGCCAGGGCTAGGGGTGGGGTGCGCACTCCCCAGTAAATCCATCCCTGATATACATCATACTTCCTTATCTGTCATTTATTTATCTATTTATTCATTTTGTCACACACATAAATGATATACATTTACGTAGAGATATAACAATAACTAGAAAATGTTGTGACACGAGAAGAAAACAGAAACTAGATTCCAATTGATATTCGACCCCTTAACAATTAATGGATAACGAGACGTACTAAGACAATTGTGCACGAACATATCACAGATTACATGCAACTTAACATATAGGATACTGTACAACGAATTTTAGAGTATAAGTATCTATGGTGGTATGTAGGTAGACAGTTTGGCTTTATAATAAGAGTGTAAATGGTGCTTGAAGATCTGTAGTGAATGGGCGGCTTTGATGTTCGGTGGTAGATTGTTCCAGATGAAGACAGTGCGTGGGAAATAGGATTGTCGGAAGAATTCTTGACATGAACAACTCTGAGACATGTAACATAAATGCAGTCAAGTATACCAATATACGCTCACATTTTCCATTATTTTTACGTAATTTGGAGGAACATTAGAAAAATTTAGGATCCCGAGGAACATTGGGTACTTTTCCAGGTCTGAGAAGCATTACGGCGAAGAGAAAATAGACAGTCTGGAACATGGCTGCAAGCTATAGCTATATTAAAAGCACTCCACTTTACCTTATTTATAAATGTAATAACGACAGTGTCTTCGTCAGGTGACGAGTCCGCATAAAACCTGGATATGAACAACAGAATTGTAACATTTCTTCTCAAACTCATTAATAATTCATGAGCAAAACTACCGGAATCGTATCGTTGTCTTAAAACCACGGTAATTAAAACTATCGCTTTTAATTTTCTTTATCCCATTGTGTGCCAGCGGTCTCCCCTCGACGAGTAAAATGTCTGGCGTAAGACAGAGTAAAATACTCAAGTATAAGGCGCATTTGCATGAGCGCAATGCAAGTTAATAGGTTAGCCCGTTTGAGGAGTAATATAATAAACTCAAAAGCTATTGCTTGGACCTCAAAGTATGTGAAAAGACGTGGCTAGCGCCTCCTTTTTCAACACACTTTTTTGTGTCTTATAAACGCCGGTCATAAGAGCTTTCTCGTTTATTCTGAACTACTTTTTTCTTTTTTTTGTTTATTTAGCTTTGCCAACTAGGGCAGGGTCACCGCAACAGCATATGCCAATTACTGTGGGCCCTTTTACCTAACCCACCCCGTCAACTTTCCCTGTGGGAGGAAACCGGAGTAGCTGGGGGGGGGGAGGGGGCACGACTTTCGGCAGAGCGTTGACTTCTTCTCTTTTCGCATGGGGATTGTGCTCGGATCGCGGTTGGTCAGTGGCAGTTACCATGAAAATTTCGGCGCATTGGGAAAGTTCTCACTGAGATCTGAACCTCCGACCTTGGAGGCAAGTGCACCAACCACTTCGCCACCGAAGCCCCCTTATAACCGTATAGGTAGTGGCAAATCTTTCCCCTCTCGACACACTACCTTTTCTTGAAGAGCAATAAAAATTCTTTTGATAACCACAAGGACAGAACATTTAGTGTCTTATTGGATGAGCTCACCAAACTGCCAACAGATATCAATGGGTACTAAAATATAATTGAAAATAATATTGTATCAATCGTCTGTTTGACTGACTTTATATATAGCTCTGTTCTCACTGGAGATTCAGTGTTAATACGGAAGAAACTGACAGAATGCTTCTATGAAAATATGTTGAAGTGTTTTTGTAGATGAAAATTTCGACTGTGAATTTTATACATTTTAACCAGGAGCAAGTGCGAAAAATGCAACTATAGGCCCAGTCAGGGTTTTTTCCGGGATTTTTTAGGACCGTATAACGGCCCCAAAAACTCAATCTTGAATTGAGTTTTGAAACTCAATCTTCTCACCATGGGCCGGTTGTTCAAAGGTGTATTAGCTCTAATCCGGGTTTAAAATTTAACCCACTGTTTTAGTTTGCATACTTCTGCATGTGCATTTATTTCAAAATGTCAGAAAAGAAAACTTCTGTTGATCCAGACATGATTTGTGAAGAAATATTTTCAAATTTATAAACAAGCTGTCAGGAAGTTTCCTTTGAATTTTAAGCCTAACACCTAGGGTTAAGCTAATCGGCTTTTGAACAACCGGCCCCATAAGTATCAGTGCAGTAAAGATGAAGTTGTTTGAGTTAAATTCGTGACGTGTCGAGATTAGTTTTCAGTTGGAAACCCAACAATCAGGAAAAAATGGCTGGAATTAATTCGTTTCACAACACACGAAAAACACGCACTTGCCAACTTTTTCCAGTTTATATAGTGTCTGCCTTAACACATTACTTATTGGGTACAGGTGTCAGCCCCCGCAGCGGCCCAACATCCCAAGCTATTCAGCTAAACTCAATCTTCTCTGCAAAAATGGACCCAAGAGAAAATCCGGAAAAAACCCTGGCCCTCTGGCAGGACTTGAGCCTGCGGCCCTGTGATTCCGGTGCAGCGCTCTAATCAACTGACTGAACTACAGAGTCCAGTTGTCGAGCATTAAACCATAAGGCCATCTGGCAGGAATCGAGCCTGCGATTCTGGTGCAGCACTCTAACCAAATGAGCTACAGAGACCAGTTATCGAGCATTAAACCACAAGGCCATCTGACAGGAATCGAACCTGCGGCGCTGGAAGCACTCTTCTCATATGTGAGGTAAAATTATAATCATATACAACTGTATATTCCAGGAATCAATCCATAATTACCTACCTTAGCAGACATTCTGCATGTTAGTTCCAACAAAGTTAATACACCCTCGGGAGATAACACAGTCCAGTTAACAGATAAAACTTGAGATCTTCCATCACCAGAGACTGCCTCACTGTGAAATATAAAGAAATGAATTGCTATATTTATCAACATGGAGAGGCAATCTCGTTCCCAGACTCTTTCCTCTACGCTTTTAGGGCCTGGGAACGAAGTTGAACCATTGAACTACAAATAAACTGGAAGGCTAACTGCTATGATGAAGGCCTATGTTTGGGTGAAGCCAAAATAGTTTTTCTGAGTTATGAGCAGAAATACTTGATCCCAAACGTTGGGCTATATATCAAATTGAAGCTATTGAAAATTGCTATTCAGTGTGGAAATTTCAAGACTTCAGCGAAAAGAGACATATTTTATAAAATACAAAAACAACTGCAAAATGGCAAGTTAGCGGCAATTATTTTTGTAGTTTTTCAATATTTCCCTTTTAGCTAAAGTCTTGAAATTTCTACACCAAATAGCGTTTTTCAATAGCTTCAGTTTCATATACAGCACAACGTTCAGTGTTGAGTATTTCTGCTCATAACTCAGAAAAACTAAAATGTACTGGCTTCAACCCCCCCCCCCCTGAGATAGCCTTCCAGTTTATTTATAGTTCAATGAGTTGAACTAGAGGGCAATCAGAGGCCGTATACCTCCTCCAGCAAATTAAGTGATTATAGTGATGCATCATGCATAAATTATACAATGGGCTAATTACGCATTAAGTCTACTCTGTCCCGCAAAGCAAGACAAACTTTTGCTAATTTCTCATCCAATTCTCATCCAAATTTAACCAAAATTTAATCCGTTTGTCCGACAAACACGCACACAAACACGGATAAAAACATAGAATGTTACCTGGGCTTGGGTGATGATGTCACTTCTATAGTCACTAAGAGACAATACCATAATGCATCCCATATTCCACTAGATATGACGTCACTTGCATTGAGGCTTGATGTATCCTGTTATAGTAATAAGCATGAGACTTATAGTAGGTATAGCTTTGCTAAAGACTACCTGATTGGCTAGCAGACTGACTGACCGACTTAGTGGATATAATGTTTGTGATGTTACTCTGAGTGTGTATCCACACCGGGCAAGCTTGAAAAATATGCCTGGCCACGGTGGGAATAGATTCATGTCTCCTCTGTTTATGAGTTAGATTTTAACATAATTAATGCATCTGTGTCACACAGTTACAGTGTGCGAGTGTCGATTTACTATTTATTGCAGAAAATATTCAATGTTCTCTTGCGGTTCCAGAAAGTAAAATATTATTTCCACCCTTGCGTCAAATTTTACAGGTCAAATTTTACAGATTCAAGGGGAATTTAGCACTCAAAATTATGATATATAATAGAATTAGTCAAAAACTTCAAATACGAAAGGTTGTAAGAGGCCGAAAAGCGTCTTAGTTGTCGCTTGACTCGCTCCGATGCGTCTGAGAACGTGAAGTTCCACACACCTGTGCGAGCATGTTGTCCAGAAGGTGAATGACTCCATCACATAGACCAATATCACAAAATGGAAAATGTATTATCTGCCAAAACAATGAAAAGTAAGATATTATGGTATGTCCAGATGTTGTGGCTATAAAGTATGCCGAAATTTGGCATACTGTACCTATTAGCATGGTTTAAACCCGTATTCATCACGGTGAGAAAACAATGCTGATTCTTATCATTATATGTAGTGCTCTTGGATTTGGGGACAAATAAATAGAATTTTTAAGACATCAAGTTTCAGTAATTTTCTTGAATTTTTTTCTGTGTTGGCGTAATATACTCAGTGCCTTGTGATGTTACTCTGAGTGTATATCCACACCGGGCAGGCTTGAAAAATATGCCTAGCCACGGTGGGAATCGAACCTACGACCTTTGGAATACTAGCCCAATGCTCTGCCAACTGAGCTACGCGGTCAAGTCGGTTCGAGTATGTGATACTTCGGAACTGAGTCTAGTTCCTTCGATGTCGATGTAATCTAGTAATCATGAATTTTTCATGAATTTTTTTATGTGTCACCATTGACCACCATTTGCTGGCTGTAACCATCTATTGGTCATTTCAATAACTTTATGTCAGAACATACTTTACCCTAGGCATACTGGTTATAGTTGAAAGTATGGCTGTGAGTATGTCGTCCTGGGATTGGCTAAAAACATCACGACATTCTGGGAATAAGGTTTGAAATAAAAACGACGTCGTGATTTTGAATAAAATGTTGTTGGAATGAAGAAACAACTCGATTAGAAGGTCGCCACAACTTGATAATCTAAAATAAAGAGAAGATAAATTAAATAATGTTATTTGAGGAAATGGAGCCAAGAAAAAATGAGTAAGCGAGACAGCCCAGCAAATATAAACTCACTGACCAACCAATCGACCAACCCACCGACCAACCAACCCACCAACTGACCAACCCACCGACTCACCAACTCACCGACTCACCAGCCCACCGACTCAACCGACTCATCAACCCACCGACTCACCAACCCACCAACTGACCAACCCACCGACTTACCAACTCATCAACCCACCGACTCATCAACCGACCGACTCACCAACCCACCGACTCATTAACCCACCGACTCACCAACCCACCGACTCACCAACCCACCAACCCACCGACTCATCAACCCACTGACTCACCAGCCCACTGACTGACCAACCCACCGACTTATCAACCCACCGACTGACCAACCCACCGACTCATCAACCCACCGACTCATCAACCCACCGACTCACCAGCCCACCGACTCATCAACCAACCGACTCACCAACCCACTGACTCACCAACCCACTGACTCATCAATCCACAGACTCACCAGCCCACCGACTCATCAACCCACCGACTCACCAACCCACCGACTCATCAATCCACCGACTCACCAGCCCACCGACTGACCAACCCACCAACTGACCAACCCACCGACTGACCAACCCACCAACTGACCAACCCACCGACTGACCAACCCACTGACTGACCAACCCACCGACTCACCAACCCACCGACTCATCAACCCACCGACTCACCAACCCACAGACTCACCAACCCACCGACTTACCAACTGACCAACCAACAAAGCAACCGACCGAGCGACCGACCAACCGACCAAGCAACAGACTGCCTGACTGACCGTCTGACCAATTGACGGACTAAGTTGATTAAGTTCAAGCATAACTTACTGTTGAGATATATCCTGTTGATGATATCTCAGTATACACCACAACACTGTAACATGAAGTATCCACTCCTCCAAACCTTCCATATCACAAGATCCTGACTGCGTAACTAGCTCACGAAAATTCACACCCAACGTACTGAGATACTCTTCTTGATCAACAATTACCACACACATCTCCTTTGATCCCTCGCACACCTTACACAAAAGAGCAAGTGTCCTGTGGTCTTTGACTTCCTGCGGAGATAATAGTGTGGCTAACTGTTTCTTAAATTGCTGCGAGAGAAGTTTTTGAACAAGAAGTTGAGATAGAATTTGTTTGTGATTTTCCTCGTCTGTATTGTGATTTATCAGCGCTGCCGTGGCGGTGATGGCTGTATTATTACAGAGGCATATTCCTTGGCTTTCTTGTAATGTCAGACAGTTTATAAGGCAGTCTATGACTTGAATGTTTGTGGTTATGATGTTGTTATAGAAATCTGAAGAGAATTGTGTCATTCTTGTGTCAACTGTCTCACATAACGCTGCGAAACACTAGATGAAAGAAAAAATGAGAACTTCATATAAAACTAGGACTTCATATAAAACTAGGACTTCGTACAAAACTAGGCTTAACTAACTTTATATATGCTGGATAACTCTATCTCAAACTCATCAATAATTCATGAGTAAATTAGCCAACCATATTGCTTTATTTTGCTCACCTCACTTTAATCGTATGAGATGTCATTTCAAACTGGACTAGATTTCAAGTCCTCGTATTTTGATCCAGTCCTCGGCTTCGCCTCTGACTTGATCAAATTGTGCGGACTTGAAATCTAGTCCAGTCCTCATAGTCGGATTGGAATATTACATCAGTTTTAAACTATTCTCCGTAGAGCACTAGAGGTCCAGTAAAGAACATCCCCTGTTTGTCCAATGTCAATATAGGAAATAACCGGAGAACCTTGAAAAAACCTGCGGTGTTTCGTAAGAGTCTCTTCTCACATGTGACAGAGATAATTATTCAGACAACTGCATATTGCAGGAATCCAGGGATGGATCCAGCATGATCTGGTAAGGGGGTGCTCTGCCAGCTCTGGTGCCGAGTTGTGTCGGTCATGTGCGCCGCCTGCCCATCAACTTGCTTGACTACTGCAAATTCTTGCTTCACTACTGTATTTGAATTATAATTGGCAATTCCAGCTTGTAGTTTATGCGTGCAGGGCACGATGGGAAGTATAAAGGTATCATATTGCTGATTATGTTGAAAAAATAAAAATGGTGGCCGTGTAAACACGGAGTGATAGCTTATACTTGTAAATATTGAAATATTTTGGTTGTTTAGGTAGTTTTTATTTAAATTTTCAGCATAATTAGCACTATGATACCTTACTTCCCATCACCCCCTGCAGGCATAAATTAAAAGCTGGAATTGCCTATTGTTGTTCACAGTTCGCTTATCATCATGGTGTTACTCAAATTACCGTATCTCATTTTGTCTCTGATATTTTGCTTTGCTTTATCATGAAAAATAGCACCCTCTCTGGCCAGGGCAGCGCGGGTGCACCCCCGCCCAGTAAATCCATCCCTGGAGGAATAAACCTCGGTCACAGAGATTAAAGACTCATGCACTGATCACTGTGACACCAACAACCATTCAGATTTCAAAAATAGTGCAAGAGTAGTACATAGTTACATTCAATACAGTATCTTGAAGTCGTGCATCACAGTCCAGGGCCACTAATTGCGGAAGAAGAGAAACAAACAGGACGGACGTTTCACCAAGAGCGGGGAATGATCTGTGTTCAGGTAACTTCATCGCGCATTCTTCAAGAAATGTCCAAAACAGCGTGACACAGTCGATCAAAATCTCATTACACCAGGGCAACTACAAATACAACATATGAATTTTTCATGATTTTTGATGGTATTTCAAATGTTCAATAATTTTTATAGCCTCACCTTAATAACCTCGGTTGACATTAGATCTTTCATAATTGTTACACATTTTTCAGGCAAGCCAATTGCAACACAGAAATCTAATTTTTGGCCAGCCAAACTAGAAAAGTGAAAATACAGCCTGGCTAATACACACAGATCACTATCGATGTTCGCATTAAATAAAACTACAGCGTAAATTAATTCACTGGATAGCTCTATCAGTTCTAAACTGTTCTTCCTAGAGGTCCAGTAAGGATTATCTCTTATTGATCCAGTGTTACTACAGAAGGAAACCTAAACTAAACTAACTTTATTTATACTTGATAGCTTTATCAGTTCTAAACTGTTCTCCCTATAGAGGTCCAGTAAGGATCATATCTTATTAATCCAGTGTTACTACGGGAGAAAAGCTAAACTAACTTTATTTATACTTAGCTCTATCAGTTCTAGACTGTTCTTCCTAAAGGCCCAGAAAGTATCATCTCTTATTGATCCAGTGTTACTACGGGAGGAAACTTAAACTAAACTAACTTTATTTATACTTAGCTCTATCAGTTCTAAACTGTTCTCCCTAGAGATCCAGTAAGGATCACCTCTTATTGATCCAGTGTTACTACAGGAGGAAACCTAATCTAAACTAACTTTATTTATACTGGATAGCTCTATCAGTTCTAAACTGTTCTTCCTAAAGGCCCAGTAAGGGTCACCTCATATACTGATCCAGTATTACTACAGAAGAAAACTCTCTCTAGAATTCCAGTAGGGAACATCCCATATTATCCGGTATTTAAACAAGTAGAAACCGAACTGAGTGATCCAACAATTGTCTAGCCACTCACCCGGGTAAAAGTAAAATATTTCGAAATACTTTAAGAATCTGACGAAACTTCGAAGCTCCCTCTAGAATGCCTTTGACAACTTCATCGGCAGCAGAATGAAACCCGGCGCTCATTTTTCCAAGAAAATCAGAACTTTCTACAAGTCTTTCTAAAACTGGATCTTCAATCTCTCCACCTTGCTGTTGAAGCTTTAATTCTTCGTCAGTGCTCTCGAGTAGGTTTGACCATTCCTCGTCGCTTTCCAACTCCTAATACATATGGTACATGTATAAACGCATTGTATGTACAATAAACTAAACTAACTTTATTTATACTGGATATATTCTATCAGTTCTGTACTGTACTTCCTAGGGGTACAGTAAAGATCATCTCTTATTGATCCAGTGTTACTACGGGAGGAAACCTAAACTAAACTAACTTTATTTTATATACTGGATAGTCAGATAGATCTATCACTTCTAAACTGTACTCCTTAGAAGTCCAGTAAGGATCATCTATTATTGATTCAGTGTTACTACAGGAGGAAACCTAAACTAAACTAACTTTATTTATCTTGGATAGTCATATCTGTTCTAAAATGTTCTCCCTAAAGGTCGAGTAAGAACCACCTCTTACTGATCGAGTGTTACTACAGGAGGAAACCTACACTAAACTAACTTTATTTATACTGTATAGTTCTATCAGTTCTAAACTGTTCTTCCTAGAGGTCCAGTAAGGATCATCTCTTATTGATCGAGTGTTACTACAGGAGGAAACCTAAACTAAACGAACTTTATTTATACTGGATAGCTCTATCAGTTCTAAACTGTTCTTCCTAGAGGTCCAGTAAGGATCATCTCTTATTGATCCAGTGTTACTACAGGAGGAAACCTAAACTAAACTAACTTTAGTTATACTCGATAGCTCTATGAGTTATTAACTTATTAGTTCTAAACTGCTCTCCTTAAGGGTCCAGTGAGGGGCATCTCTTATTGAT